TTTAGTAATATACATTATCCATTAGGGATAAATGTTTGGATTTTAGTAATATACATTATCCATTAGGGATAAAATGTTTGGATTTTAGTAATATACATTATCCATTAGGGATAAAATGTTTGGATTTTAGTAATATACATTATCTATTAGGGATAAAATGTTTGGATTTTAGTAATATACATTATCCAGTATTTTGTTAAACGTGCACGAAAGTAGAACGCATTTTATTAATGAGACAAAGATTTGACCAATAAATCACAGCTTTAGAAAGACAAAGATTTGGCCAATAAATGACATCTTTAGAAAGACAAAGATTTGGCCAATAAATGACATCTTTAAGAAAACAAAGATAAACAAAGATTTGACCAATAAATCACAGCTTTAGAAAGACAAAGATTTGACCAATAAATCACAGCTTTAGAAAGACAAAGATTTGACCAATAAATGACAGCTTTAGAAAGACAAAGATTTGGCCAATAAATGACATCTTTAAGAAAACAAAGATAAACAAAGCTTTGGCCAATAAGTCACAGCTTTAGGAAGACATAGGTTTGGCAGTGTTTTCAAGTTTTAATAAGACAAAGATTTGGCCAATTTTTGACATTTTTAGTATGACAAGTCTTTGTCCAATATTTCAAATCTTTTAATAAGATAAAGACTTGATCAATGTTTCACATGCTGAGTAAAATAAAGATTTGGCTTGTGTTAAGACCATAAAGCTTTTATGAATATATCACATATTTAATAAGATAAAGCTTTCTTCATTATATCACATATTTAATAAGATAAAGCTTTCTTCATTATATCACATATTTAATAAGATAAAGCTTTCTTCATTATATCACACCTTTAGTAAGACATAGATTTATCCAGTGTTTCACATCTGTAGTAAGTTAAACACCTGGGTAAAGTTTTACATATTTACTAATACAAATCTTTGGCCAGTGTTGACATCTGTAGTGAGACAAGTTCATAATATATTTTCTTTAAAATTACATTATGTTTTGTTAATATCTACGAATCTTAATTATGAAATCCAAATTACAGCGAACACTGAAGGTCATTTTTGTTTTATTTTGCTAATTTTCAAAACCTGAAACTAATAGCATACAGTTTTGTTGATTTTCCAAAAAGATATCTACGACCAAATTAATAACTTTGTTTTAGGCATCCGATCCTGAGATTTATATAAAAGAAAGCCAGAATACAAGACGTTCATCATGGCTACAGGAAGAGGACAGTGGTGTGGATGAACTAATAGACATTCAAGGTCAAAGGTCGCAAGATGGAAGTAGTAAGTTTTCAATAAATTTGATTACACGGTGAACATAAAAAAAAAAGATTTCTGTAGCTGTGAATTTTGTTATCTGAAGAAATACGTTTTTAATAGTGAATCACAATTCTTCAGATGTAAGATTAACCAAACGTATTTATAGGCCATACTAGTGAAGTGGCTACAATACACAGTATAATGAGGTATCTTTTTTCTTTCAGCTGTTGTGTATTATTTCCAGATTTGTGTTCCTTTTTTTTATAAAGACTCTTCATAAGCAGAGAATTGTTTGTTGTAGTAAGTTATTTTAAATACTTGTTTGTTTGGTATGATATAACTTGTATATAAAAAGAACTTTCGTTGATAGTGGTTGCCAGGGGTAGCAGGCAACAATAGAAATATGTTGTCTGTTGCCAGTTGTGTGATGCTAAACCTAGAAGTAGGGAGCCGCCATGATCTTCCTTACCCTACTGTGTTTATTAATTAATTTGAAGTACAAATAATCATTATGGTGAGGTATATTATTGTAAAGCACTAACGTTACTAGAACTTTAAGCTAGTGATAAAAACTTTATTTATAACCAGCTGGAGTACTCGTCTCCTGGACGGAATTTATGTAAGTTCTTAATTAATGAAAGGTTAGCTTAGGACATGAAAAGCTGCTTCCCTTATATGCAATTGTAAAAACTGCAAAACCCCCATAAAAACTGCAAAATATGAAACAGCATATTTGCATGCATCTTCATATAGAACCAACAAATCGAATTTGGTGAAGATCCATCTACAGGGGTCGAAGTAGTGGTAAAAATCCCCAAAACCACATAAAAACTGCAAAACTGAAAATTTGAATGTACCCCGCATGGACCCAATAAACCTATAAACCAATTTTGGTGAACATCCATCCACGCCCTGCGAAGTAGTTACTTGGACATACAACAGACAGTACTATTATGTTTACATAGATAAAGACAGTACTATTATATTTATATAGATGAAGACGGATATAAATATAATAGTAAGATGAAGACAGTACTAGACGTCGGATGAGCCTCGGATACTCTTGTTTGCGCCTCATCAGATGAGTGGTGTTTGCGCAATAAGTTGATAACGTATAACCTTACCAAAGTTGCATACTAGGTATTTACTCTGTGTGTTACTCATAAAGTCAAGTACTTACATTATAGACAAATGGAAAACAAGCATTACGTACATTTTGAAAATTAGCATACGATAAAAATGTTTAATGTCGTGACTTGTTTGCATGAATCTTGAGATGAGTTGAATGCAAAATAGTAAAATGTACACTTGAAATATGGAAGCAGTATTCACTCTCCATGTTAATAATGTAAGGGGTCGGAGCTTCTTTGCGACCCCACAGAACTTATACTGCTAGATCTGATTCTTCGAGACGGCTTTTCGGGTGAATATTATCACGATTTCATTAATAATCTTGGTAGGGACATCAAAGATAGTCCATTGTATCGCTATGTGCTTAACAATAAACAAACAACGAAACAAAATACGAGAAGTTTGTTTGCAGTAAGTTGTTCTGTGTATAAATGACGGGGGTGCATCTTAATTTTTATACAATGATTTTTACCATGACACATCAGACGCATTAAAAAATGAACGTAGTATACATATCTGATGTACAGTAATGGGGCTTAATAATAGTGTCTTATTCGATAGTCTCGCCATCTGACGCCAGCCCTTACAACCTTAGTAGTGGACTACCGTCGCCTTTAACAGAGAATCTTATATCACCAGGAGGCGAAAGTGGAGTAATGAACAACGAAACTATTTCCAGGAGAAGGGCTGAATCAGCGGAGATCAGCAAGAAAGAGCGTGGGGCTGTATTTCAAGGTTTCAGTAGAAGATCAAAAATAACCAACAGTTTATACGAATCTGGAAGTGGAAGTCAACACGTCAGTAGATCAATAAAGAGTTCAACAGATTCAACTCCAATCCCCATGGAAGCAAAAACCGAGTAACGTTATTAATTGCTATCTTTTTAAAAACGTCTTTAGTTCTAGTATTTTATAACCACACATTTTACTCATAAATTTAAATAGTCTTATTTTATGCATAAAGAAAACTTTGCTATTTCTTCATAGCTTCGTTTATTGGTCAAATGAAAAGCAATACATTTTACATTTACTTCAAATACCCAAGTAGATCATTTTGAATACGTAATCAAATACGTAATACGTTTAGCATAATAATAGATAAGAACTTAAATTTCAACGCAAATAAATAAATAATTGTAGGTGATTTTGAACTTTAATAAAAATAACTAAGTGTTTTAATAACAAGTATTCATTTTAGGAAATAGATCTCACTAAGTTATTACTTATCAATCAATCTTTATCAGTCTGTGTTTAATGAAACCAGTTATTTTATATATATTGTAGATAAATTTAAGAAAGTTGATTATTCATATTACATTAGCGCTAAAACCTATTGGAAGAGAACCGTTGAGCCCTCCAGCGGCACAGCGGTATGTCTGTGGACTTACAACGCTAGAAACCGGGTTTCGATACCCGTGGTGGGCAGAGCACAGATAGCCCATTGTGTAGCTTTGTGCTTAGCTTCAAACAAACAAGAGCTGCTGATGTGAGATTCGTCAAATTTATTAATAATAACTTCTGAGTGAAAGTACAGAAGAGTGTATTATATGTCAACCACACCATATCTGTCATATTAGTGCCGAAGAGGCCTTTCGTCCAATATAAGACTTTTCAGGTTAAGTGCGATACCACAGACTTAGTAGTGATTGAGAAGCTATTTATATAAGAAAAACTGCTTGACAATAACTGTCACGGTATGAGTTGGTAAATCGTGAAATTCGCGATAATCGTATAATTACTTTTATATTGCAGTACTAATATTCGGATGCTTGAAGCCTGTTTGATCTGTGATTATGACCTATAAATTAATATAATAGAGATGCTACTGTTACTCCACTGTCGTGAAGCTCCCTCTCAGATATGTAATATTGCAATTACTTTGATTCTTTTTCATTTCTAGTAAATTCCACTTTATCACAAACACACAAGCACACCTTTCTAATTCAAACTAATCTCCTGACTAATCACTGTTTAGCTGTCATATTTTATTGGTTTAAAACCATTTCATACCATGTGTATCATACCTTCTTACTTTAATATAGAATTTTTCAGAATGTTTCACGCTTTCTAGGATGTGCAGTTTTCATATAACATGTTGATCAAAAACGTTGTTAAATTTCTTTCTCTCTAGCTACCTATTGTTCTGTTTTATTTCTCAAAGGTAACACTTTGTCTACCTGTGGGGAAGATAGCTGTAAAGTTGATCTTAGTTTATGAAACTGGACAGCAGTTTTCTCTGATAGTAGGTCAAGTGATATCTTGAGGTTACAGTCTCCCTTATTTTCTGATAGGAATTACGTGTAATGTGCGTAGTAGCGCTGGTCACGTGTTGCTTTCTCAGACTGGAACATCCTAACTCAACTGAACACAGCAAGTTTATGGAAAATAAACTACTTAGGGAAGAGTTATAGTTCTCCAGTAAGGCGATCATTATTTGTGCTGAAACAAAGCACAGGGACACACTCTTATTTTGTGTTAGAAATAAAGACTGTTTTCACTGTGTGCTTACATTTTTGTCCTTTAAATTTCTTTGCACAATCGTGACCACAGGATTTTATTGTAGAGTTTTTGTTTTCTGCTGACGTGTATATTGCCAGCAACGTTAACTCTTCTTTTATCAAATTAAAAAAAAACACCTCTTTCTTAAAAACTCACATTTTCCGCAAGAGGGACTAGACCAAGAGGGAGAGTTGGTCAGTGAAGAGATATAGTTTTCCGAGAGAATTGTTGTATCTAAGAGAAATCCTATCCTGCACTGAGGGCTTTCACCGATGCTACGAATGACTACGACTTCATTCTCTTTACAGTCATAAACTCAGGAAAATCAGCCAAACCCTCTGGTGCACGCAGCACAGCAGGATGATTATTTCTTCTGAACATTTATCTCAGTGTGCTGGAAGCATGGAAAACAGCGGATCAACACAATTGAATGGCATCTGGTGAGTCTGACATCATATGGACCAATCTACACAGGACTTCCAGACTGTTCCCAACCTCATCTCTCGTAAGCCACCTGAGACTCGAAGTCTATCAGTAAGAGCTATTTTCCTGACTGTTGAGACATTTTCGAGTCTCTGAACCAGAAGGTATTTTGTAAAGATGACTATGGATCACAGAGAAACTTGGGGTTGAGATGTGCCAATAAATGTGCTACTAAGCACAATTTGTTGTTATACAAGCCCTGACCAGGGACTGTCTACTCGTCATAGGATCAGAGTCCCTGAGTATGCTAACTACAACTCAGTCAAATATTTACTAACAATTCCCAAAGAAGATGGTTTGGCCACAAACACAGAATCCCGAGTTAGGCAAAGCAGCTTTGCCCCGATTTTTAAGGCAAAAGAAGATTTTGACCATTTCCACAACTTCCTGAAGAATTTCAGGCAAGTAACTGTTTAGAATGGCAGGTCTCCAGAACTAGCAATCCAATGTCTAATCAGAAACTTGAATGTTCTAGAACAAAATTCCATAAAACACTTAAGTAAGGCACAACTATGGGACTATGAGACAGTCATAATTGAATTTTGCCGACAGTTAAGCTCCGTGGAAAACCAGCCAATCCATTGGTTTGAGTTCTAGGCTCAGAGGAGTGGTAACACTTAGAGCTTGACTGCATATGTAGACGATTTACCCTACTTGTATTGTAACACATACCCAACAAAGACTTCTACAGCTGGATAAGACATCCTATTGGGTAAATCCATTTAGAGACTATCCACAGAAATGAACAGACATCACTTGGGTGTGAGAGAGATTCTCACCCTTACAGAGACAGTTTTTATCATGATAAGGAATAAAGTGATAACTTTTACCCAGTAATCAGAGAAAAAGAAGCTTGCTGTGGATACGTCTCTGACAGACTATCTTACACAAACACCTACATTCTGAAAGTTAACCAGCCACCAACACATCCCAGCACCACAATACAATAACATCGTGGTACACAGTGAATGAGCAATCCTAGCCCTTCCATGCAATCTGTGCTTCTTCCCTGACGTTACTCTGGAAGAGAGGATCTGATTTGCTTGTGAAAAGTTGGGTCATTTTCAAATGAACTGCCCATACCTTGCCAAGGAGCAAGGTATGCAACGCTATTGTTTTTGACTGACAGCTGAACAGATTCAGAAGATCCAGCATCAAATAATAACCACTGCCACTAAGGCTCTAGAAAAGCCAGGTCTGGACAGCAATTTGGAGAGCACGGCAAACAGCATTTTCTGAAATGTTCAGTGGTCAGCCCAGGTCTCTTGGAGTTGGGTTTAGCTCAGTACATGCCTGTATAGGCAAGAGATCGAGTTCATGGTTGATACAGGAGTGACCTGAACATTGATAATCTCTCACGATGTCAGGCCCTCTAAGCAAAGTCACCACTATCGACACTACTTGTATGTTAGGAGGTTCGCAATTTAAATGGATTATACTTTGCTGAAATGGTTAAAGAACTTGAAAAATCTGTAAAGGATGATAGCACATTATATAACAAAGTTGTGAGAATGTGACTCTGTCATATTGCATCTTCCTGGCCTACAACTCTAGAATACGGACCTATCTTACTCAATCTTGAAGGAAATCAATTTCACCTGGAAATACCACATCATAAAAATTAAAACTTGTCTAAATAAACCCTCGCTCTAACTGCTTTTCTTCACTTCATACCGATTTTGATAGGAGGAGACTTGTTTTGTTTTTTTAGAAAAATCTTCCATCAAACAAAGGTCTAAGATATGTTGACAAAGCGATGCAATTACCCATACATTTTTTATTTAGCTAAAAAGAAGATCGTTAGACAATTTGAGAGTGTTATCAGATGGATCCCGAATTACTGAAATGTGTTTATTATTTCTGTCATTGTAGTGTATAATCACATTCGTTAATGAACTACATCTCTCTCTTTCTCAACCTATTTATTTTTATGTAACGCCTATGATAAGCTAAACTATTAATTTCAAGAGTCCTTCAAAATAAACTAAAATAAATGAATGGTAAACAATAAAAAACTATCAATTTTATTACAATTTTTCTTATAAAAATGAATAACGTTTCTTTGCTCACTGATTCAAATGTGTGTTAAATAGTAGTGATTGTGTAGTTACAGTTACAGAAATTTCTAGTCCAGTAAGATAAACGCAGGTTAATATGTCTATATTTTCTATCTAGACAAATGTATGAAAATTATTTTAGTTTTTTCATATATTAGGCTTAAGTGTCTCAATTATCGTTAATCTGACTGAGCAGTCTTTTATTGTTAACAGCAAACTAACCAGAAGTTAAGGATGAAATAATCCAAACTGATCAGGAAACCAGTTTTATCTGGTTTGTAGCCATTGCAAATGAAGTAAGTAAATGCTAAGTGTACAGAGGATCATTTGTTACCTCTTCAAAATGCTGATCAGGTTGAGTCACAATCTGGTTAAAAGGGGGTTTAAAGCATAGGATTAGTCTGTATAACATTTTGCTCGCATGTAACAAAAATAAAACTTTAATGAAAAAGAAAGCGAAATGAAAACGAAACTAAACACCAAAAGAATTTCAAAAGATTCCACTAGTTACATTCCAGGTTATACTAATGACAAATAATAGCTTATGTCCACACGTAGCAAACGAATTATCTGACATACTTATTGACTGCAAATGTTGTTGTAAATAGTTAGGAAACACATCAAACTTTTATCTTTATATTTTGGTTAAAAAAAACATTTACCTTTATGAAAAAGAAAAACTCATTTTTTTAGTTCGTTAATCACTAATTTGACCAACGTAAAACTGGTGTCATCCTGTATTAATTTGGGTCGTGTGTTTATTTGTCCTTAAAATCCTTCCAATTTTTTTGGAGCTAGAAGGACCAACTTGGCAAGTGGACCCAGCATGGCCCAGAAAGGTCCTCATCCTACTGAGAGGACTAAAATGTACCTTAAAGATTATTCAGACGTCATGAAGTCTAGGAGTATGAATCTCACATCAGATTTTATGATTCAGGCCCCTCGGGATCATGTTTGAAACTGAGTTCATACCCTCATTCACAGGCGTATGTGCTCGAGTACCTAACAGTTTGTTTTCCGGGTACAAAACTTCCTCGTGATAGCTGCCGTATATTAATTCACGTCGTATTTTATTCTTGTCTGCAATACTCCCACTCATAAGCTTAGCGGTACCAAACACGACACACGTACTAATAAGATACCACTGGTACGTGTTCTAGTGGGGTTTCTTTTGGTATGGATCCTCCTTGGAGTAGATATAAAAAGAAATTGTGGGTAATGGTTTCTCAGGGCTTCTTTGAATCATGCTATACGTTTATACTATTTATTTAAAATAATTGAACGTAGTAGAGATATGGTAATAATTTCTCAGTAATATAATCTATTATTAGATATGGTAATATTTTCTCAGTAATATAATTTATTATTTTTATATATCAATTATTCTAGAGGAAAACAACGACAAATAGATTATTTTGATGAGAAAGTTGAAGGTGGAAAGCTATTCCAAAACACACAAGGAATTATAGGTCGAGCTACAACAACATTTATAAAGGATGAACATTGTGATGAAGAGACTAGATCGAATGTAGATACTACAATTATTTTGGAGAATGATACAGAGAGACACTGTAACGAAGAGGCTGGATCCAACGAGGCCAATGCAAAGTTTACAGGGAGTAGTAGAGAGAAACACTGTGATGAAAATGGTGTATACAATGGAGCTACCAAACTAATTATAGGGGCTGATGCAAGGAAATATTGTCGTGGTGAAGTTGGATCCCAAAAAGGTGAAGAATGTTTGATTTCAGAAGTTTTTTCAAAATTACCTAAACGGAAAGTTGCAGAGTTGACAAGAAAAAAATCTGGTAGAAAATCTGTAAAGAAAATCAAGTCTTGTTCCAGCTCGCGACTTCCTGTCTTTATAGGTCATTTGAAGCACCCTTTGTCTCGTGCAGGCCAAGAGAAGGGCAGGTATAACATCAAGCCAGCTAAAGTTTTCCCTAAACGCACTATGTTGTATTCAAGCAAATGTCAAGGAAGGCCTACATCGGACTATAATACATACACTTCTGGCCAACATAGGCCTATCTCTGTCCACAGTAATGGAACATGTAGCTTTGTTGAGAACGTTAACAAGTTGACTAAAGCATCAAAACTACCTAGGTTAGTCCAGAACATGAAAGTATTTTCCAGATCAGATAATGCCACTGAAAAAATAAAACATGCTAAAATTAATCAATCCAAGGTTCCACAGCTTACAAAACGAGAGATATTGACAACGACCAATAGGCGAATTAACCGTTTGGCTACAAAAGGTAGAAAGAGTGGAATACATAATGGGAAAAGGAAACTAATTAATTGTTCGAAGTATGAAACGATTGTTGATTCTAGGAAAAATAATGAAAGATTCATAGATCAACCTGACGATGTAAGCAGAGAAAATATCACCCGGAAAAAGGCAACTTTTACTGTGTCTCGTGAATACAAAACACAAACAGAAACATGGAAACGATTTCAACAGATCTGGAGACAACTTGTTGAAACTGGCAGCTTCCAAAAAAGGCCTTTTCTGTTGAAAAGAGATTTTACCGACACTAACCAGCTAGTGTGGGACAAGACCAAAAATTCCCTCATCTTAAAAAACGTACCTGTAACTTCAAAAGTTTCAACCTTTAAGATTTTTCCTGGGGTAAACCTAAAAATGGACTATGCCGTAAATAATAACGTTCATTCAAATTTAACTGAGCTTACTTACACTGAAGGAAACAGAAGACCTTCCAAACATACTCCTCTTTCTGTAAAGGACACCCTGATGACGAACGGTCACGACACACCTTTCTCGGTAACCAGTGAAAATGTGAAAATGAATTTTGAGCACTCAAATAGTGTGATAACGAGAAACGCAGCTGTTTTGTCTTCCATAAATGTAAACGAAAAAGAAAATGAAAGAAGTGAACAGAATGGTTCTATGTTTAAACTAGAAGGAAACGTAAAAAGGAATTACGTCACACAACATGAGGTGGACAGCGTCAGAGGTGTACGAAGCAAGCAGAAGTCAGGTTCTGGTATTCATATTTCCAACCTAACAAATCAAATTACCACTTCAACAACTGGCTGTGCTGAAAAAAATAGTTTATGCAGGAAAGTTGTTGGTGATATATCCATGAACACGACAGGACAGACAACGAAAGAGCTAGAGTGTCCCAGTCATATCTTTTCTATTATAACAAGCGAAAACTCTGGTGGAGGGAATGAACACCGTGAAAAGGTTAACTATGCTACACGAAGTAAACGCAGCAAACAAAAATTATTTCATAAAAGTGGGAACGGTCTAGAAAACAAGAATTGTGCAGAAGTAAGGAATAACACTATTGAACAACTGGACAATCAAACAATAACTGGTGATATAACTAACGCGGAAGGGGAACAAAGGGATGAAACAAAACTTAACACTAACTTCAATATTAGAAGGAACATCAAAGGGAATGAGTTCGTACAAAATTACACTCACAAGAACAAAGAATGGAGAGTAGAACAAAAGTGTGCCTCTAAAGACAAATCTGGTGGTGTTACAAACAACAGGAACTCCAGAAACTTTTCTGTTAAAATGTCAATAAAAACAGATGTAGTAACGGAAAACAAAGAACGTTTTATGGACACCAGATTTAATACAAATGATGGGAACTACGATAAAAGGAAAAAATCACGAGGAAATATTCATCTGGGTGTTATGAGTGAATATAGCGAATTGGAGAACTGTTATCTTAACATAAACAGTCCAAACGAAACACGAGCAGACGAAAGTGTAGCACGTAGCTGTAACCTATCGACGACCAGTGGCTTTATAAGGGGTATTGAACACCTAACGAATGGGACTGAGTTAAACACAGCAACTACTTTTACCAACAATAATATACCCATCATTGATGAAGAAGAGAGTAAAAAGGAAGATCAAAACGCGTCTGAGAGTAACGTTACAGCGAAAAACAAAGGAAATGAGTCACCACAACATCTCACGGCTAAGAGTAATGTTACAGCGAAAAATAAAGGAAATGAGTCACCACAACATCTCACGGCTAAGAGTAATGTTACAGCGAAAAACAAAGGAAATGAATCACCACAACATCTCACGCCTAAGAGTAATGTTACAGCGAAAAACAAAGGAAATGAGTCACCACAACATCTCACACCTAAGAGTAATGTTACAGCGAAAAACAAAGGAAATGATCTAACATTGTAACGTCTTGGTTAGTAAAACGTGCACGCCATCTAGCATTGTAAATTTTTGTTTATTGTAATATTTTAGTAAGTAAAAGGTGTACATCATATAACATTTTTGGTAGTAAATCATCTATATAATCTAGCATCGCAAC